GTTAGGCATCAATCTCTTTATCAGGGGAGGGCATTTAAGGTAGCCTCTCCTCTCTTGCTTAGATTGTTAATTGGTGTCATCTTTATTTGTGTACATACTTTTGAGAGCTATGGAATCAACGTATATAGAGAAAATATGTATATGTCTTTAAATCTGAATTTGCACTGAGGAATCTGGGTCTTAGATTCACCAGTCATGGAATTCTCACCAGGCTGCCTGACACTCATATACTTGCTATTGATTACTCTTTATTAAATTCTTGACTTTTTCTTGTAATGGCTGCTTTCCAGACTGATACTGCCAGGTATTTGCTTGTTCAAACGACATACTGTTCTAAACCAGGGCATCAACAATCTTAGAATGAGTCCTGCAATTAGCAGTCACACATATGTTAACCACAGTTTGATAGTCCCCATTAACTTGATACAGGTTACTTATTGGAAAATCCCCCAAATTCCTCATATTTGAAAAGAAAATCATCATAGATAACGAAAAATATTGTGGCAATATTTTGTTTTATAATTCTTTTATAAAATACCTGATATTTTACTGAAGGAAGGTACTGGGAAATAAGAATTCTGGCTTCAGCTCCTTTCCTTTGTTTTGTAATGATATGGATTATTCGGAGGGGAAACAAGTTGAGTCACTAGATTACCCACAAGAATAAATCAAATGACAAAATCACTTCCAATCTTAAAAATTCCTTTGAATTACTAAATTGTTTGTTGTTACAAAGTAGCTCAAAAATATCCCTTCAAATACTTCACATGAAAATGTGGTGTGATCTTTGTCAAACACACTTTAAAGCAGAAATTGAGGGAAGTGCTTAATAATAAAACAGTAAACAAATCTTTTCAAAAGAGGATTAAATGTTTTATCATCCCCTGTAGAGTAATTCATATAAGTCTTTAATTTCATGAGCAGCTTTTAGCCTCTTATAAAAATAAAGTTTACCAGTTTATCATTTCCTTTCTTTTTGATTATTAACATGTTTTATTTAAATAAGCTTATCATAATAAAAGTTATTAAGTAATGGGCACATTGCACTCAGGACCTAAGAGCTCTACTCAGCAGCCTACTGATGAAAGATCAACATCTGAGAACAATGACTAGTATTCTTTGTTGTGAACTCCACTATTATTTAAAATAATACAGTTTGAAGCAACTATGATTAATATGCTATGAGCTCTAAAGTTATAGTGGACAGCAAGAAACCAAAAAGTGGGAACCATAAGCAAAATAATTCTAGGAAATTTCAAAACAAAATGCTAAAGTAAGAAATGAAAAGAGGTTTTTATTTATTGTCATTAGCTTGTGGATGTCCTTTGTGTGACAAGAATTTCACAATTATTTTTCTACCTTTTGAGCATGCTGATCTTTTAAAAATAGAATTACCAGAAAACATCATGTTTCTTTTCAGATTATGATATATATATGTTCACTGTCAATAATGAAATCTTTCTCTGTATGTCTATACTCAGTTGGCTCCGCAGAAAATTTGAGCTACATTTTAGTCTTTGCAAAACAGTCCCCTTGGCTTTCTTTATCTGATAGCTGTTTAGGATTAGCCATTGATTTGTCTGCTGTCAGTCCAAGTATGCATGCTCTGAATGAATGCAACCTATATACTCACTCATCCTTCTTTTACCCAACAATGCCCTTTAAAAGGCCAAGAACACTGAAGTTGTTTAATAAAAATCACTTAGATTGATTTTCATCTTCACAGATAAGAATAGAAGGACAGGTAAAATTCCCAGTAGCTGTAAGGTACTCACACACTCCTGCAGCAGAGCTAGGAACCCTGTGGCAAGCTATTGTCCAGAGCCGAACTTAATAACTTAGTACAGTGTTTGCTTCTTATTATCACAGAGATGAGTAAAATACCTTACTCTATGTGGGGCCTAGCCTTATGTTTGGATGAAATGCCTTTGAAAGAATGGAGATGTTTTAACATTTATACATCTGGTATGTGTGCGTGCGTGCGTGCGTGTGTGTGTGTGTGTGTGTGTGTGTGTGTGTGTGTGTGTCATGCATGCCATAGCATAAATATGGAGATCAGAGGACAAATTGTGGTATGAATTCTGTCTTTTCACAATGTGGTTCTATGGGTTAGAACTCAGATCATTAAGATTGGCCGTAAGTGCCTTTTCTCACTGAGCCATGGCCCTGGTTCTATAAATGTTTTATTTAAGAAATAAGTGTCACATTGCATTTGATGTTGCATTTACTTCAATACAAAATGAGTTTGCTTACATATAACATCAAAGAAAAACTGTTGCATCAGGAAGCTATGTCACCTTTGCCCTGTGGCTTGTGATATCTCTTCATGAGTCCTGCATGCCATGCTATCTATACTGTGGAGTTCCCGTGCCCCACTTAAAGAAACTCTGCTGAGGTCATTCACAAGTGCCTACTTTAAGACTGAGTTCGAGACCAGCCTGGTCTACAAGAGCTAGTTCCAGGACAGCCTCCAAAGCCACAGAGAAACCCTGTCTTGAAAAAAAATAAAAAAAAAAGATTGCCTGACAGGATGAATGTTGAGATGTAGGAATTCACATTAATAATAGAAACTTGTGGGAACTTGGTTTATGAGATAGAACCAAGAGTTCCGCAAGCCTCTGAGATCTTGCTGAAATCTGTGAGGTCATTTTAAGGTGAGTGAAGGACCCTATAGCAGCTCTTAGTTTGCTATTCCACATTTCAAACAGGCCAGTTCATTTTCCTCATAAATATTTTCTTTTAACATTTCATTTAATCAGTTTTAGATATTTATTTTGATATTTTTTATTTTTAATGTTTTTAATTTAAAGAACAGTACATCACTTCCCCTCTTACCTTTTCATTCTGCAACTTCTCCCAGTGACCCACCCTTGAAACTTCTACATGCCTTCAACACTCAAGTTGATAGCCTCTTCTTCTTTGATTATAGTTATTGTACACATACATAATATGTATATGCAGAGATAGAAGATAGATAGAAACTGCAGAATCCATTTTTGTTGTTGCGGCACATGTGATTTCAAGGCTGACCACTCTGCACTGGGCAACTAATAAGTCGACTCATCTCAAAGGGAGGCTAATTCTCCTTCTCCCAACAGTCAATAATTACTTGTAGTTCTTTGCCCTCAGATGGAATCCCATTAAATATTCACCCTTCCATGTTAGTATGCCTATTGATATTGCTATTGTTCTGGTGTGTTTATTCAGCCATTTCTAGAAGACATTATTTCATAGCATGTGTCAACATATTTGGGCTTTTTCAATCTTTCTGGACTTCTTCTGTGATGATTCCAAAGCCATATGCATCTGACCTGAAAGCTGCTTTCCTGCAGTTTAGCTTTAGTGCTTCCAGAAAATACTTCGCCAAATGCTAAAAAAGGGAAGCAATTAAACTCCTAGCCAGCAGCAAGACCTATGAAACACAAAAATTACTAGTATGGCAAGATACATGTAAAGGTGCCAGTAGCACCTTCATGTCCACATGTCAGTGGAGCAAACAGGAGGGGAAGGGCCTGGTGCTGTAATTTAGCCAGCTTTCTGGAACTCATGACATCACAGACCATAGAAAAGAACCTACAAGTGCCACATTTCTAGACCAGCATAGTCCTTTACTCCATTTAAATCTTATCCTTATACCCAGAAATTGTATTATCCTTGTTAGCAAGTTCTTTATAAAGCCAAAATAAGAAGTTCTTTCCTGTAACCTTTGTAGCAAGCTGTAAACCCTTATGCTATATAAAGAAACACACAATGAAGGTATAAATATAGTGTGAGATTTATGAAGGTTAATTTACAGCTCTCATTTCAGCTTTCATTTTATTTTTCAAAATAGAAAAACATAGATATTTGACCTAAGTCAATTAAAACAAGTCTAGTCCATTGTAACTTTTATTAAAAATAATTCCTTCCATTTTGGGGTTTCTGTAGATATTGTAGACCAATCTAGTTTTGTGGAACCTATGTTGGAAGTAAAATTAAATTTTGCCTTGGAGAGTGTGTGTGTGTGTGTGTGTGTGTGTGTGTGTGTGTGTGAGCGCACACACACCTCATTATAATTTCTTGTTTTTAAGCTATTATACTATATTTTGATATATAGTCATAGTCTAGAAAATTGTTAGTTTTCCTTTTGTTATGAAAAATGTTTGCAGGAGATTTATCCACCATATGAACACATGTTATACTGTCTCATAGGAGAAGCACAAGGGTAGCGGAGATTTTATTGTGGTTAGGTAGAAGTTACTTCACTAAAATATGTCAGATCAGATCATCAGATTAAGTGGTATCTTTTCTTTCCAATGTTCTTCTCTCTGTAATGAGCCATCAGTAGATCAGATGTAATTATAATCATACAACATATTTGCTTTCATTTTCATTGGAATTGTGCAAGGTACATTCATAAATATTCTTTGCTAGTGAGTGTGTGAAACTGTAGTGATAAACCAAATACTGAGTGTGCCTGTGATTGAAAGAAAGAAACTAACTAACTAGAGGGCTTCCAGAATTTTACAATAGTCCTAGCATTTTAGATGACATTCTCCACTATGAGTTGTGAAAGTAAAGATAAAATCTTTCATACTCTTAATAAAAAATTTCAATTGTACAGAAATTCTTTGTTTTTCTTCTGCTTTCTGTAGTCAATAATACAAAATCATTGTCATGAAATGATTACATGACAGTTTAGGAATGTGTGGCCAAAACTGTAGGAAAAAAGGTGTGTTATAAAATTGTGCTGTGGAGTCAACTTATGACTAATAGACAATTATGGAATTCCTTTGATTATTGTAATGCATATGGTATAAGTTGGCTTTTGAAAACCTGACATCTATTCTCTTCACACTCAGTTTCCTGATCAGGTTTCATGTGTAATTTTGCATTATTTTCAGAGAGATCCTTCTTTCATAATTGTAAGAACCTCAGCCCATGAGCAGATCCATTGCTATAGCCTTTTTGACCCAAATATTCAATAACAGTGATAGGGTCTTTTGTCTGTTCTCTCTTAGGTAAATCATCAGGCCAGTACCAATGGTGGGGTTCTGTCTGTTCATCCCCAGGTAAAAATCCTCAGGAGTTTTCCAGACTGGTTCTGCTTCTCAGATTTCCCATCAACCACTAGTTTTCTGGTGTTCTTTCTCATTAATGAACTTTATTATTGACAATTTCATGCATGTGTGCAATTCATTACTTTTATCCAATTCCCTTTTATCTTTTCCTCACCCTTATCAACCCTCTTCCTCCGTTCAAAGTCCTTTTCCATGTTCATGTCTGTTTGTTTTGTTTGAGACCTGTTGAGTGTCACCAGATCCATGCACATAGCCATGGATGTGAATCTCTCCACTGGGGCCTGGTGAACTCACAAGTAGGGAACTAACTGACAACAATGAACCCCACCACCAAGATCCATCAGTGGCTCCTACAGAACAGTAAGGACCAGAGAGCTCCCCTCCCATCTGTGTCATGACTTTTCACATTAGCTAAAACTTTACCCCTAATATGGACTGGGAAGCCT